GCAAAACACAACAAAAAGTAAATAATAATAGCAATAATAAAAATCAGGATATTGATTATCTCATTTACCTGGAAGTCCAGGAGTGTGTTCCCTTTAGGCATATGCTCTGATTAAACAGCACCCAGATTTTCCCTCTTCTTTCTCTGCTCCTTAAGTCTTCTACCTCCTTTTCCCCTTATGTGATAGTCATGCTTAGGTCTCTTGTGATAACAAGATGGCTGCCAGCAGCACCAAGCAAGTATCCTTCAGGTCAAAGAAAAAGAGACAGTCTCCAGTGCTTTCTGTCTTTCCCAGAATGCTGATTGGGCTAGTCGTTCATTCTAGAACTCACTGAGGATGAAGTATGTGAAACTCCAGTTAGGCCTGTATCACACACACATATCTGTCCTGAAGCTGGTCAGCTTCATCCAGATTATGTGGATGAAGTATGGAGAAGGGCAGTAGAGATATGCAGGATGAATGATGAATTCCAAGAAATAAATGTCAAGTGTACTTTCTGCAGTGACATAATCCAGAATTACACAAAGCACATAAAATTGGGATTTACATATTGTTTTCCCTCGAATGCCATCTCTGGTGATAACAGAGAGTATGAGCTAAAACTCCAGAATTTCTTGGCTCATCCTTCCGTGTATGGGGTTTGAAAACGTGCCCTCCTTAACAGAGGAGAGCAAAAATCAGGTTTAGTTTTGGACAGGAAGATGAGTCAGTCGTCAGACTAAGTAACAGGGAATGGTACAGACCTGTGGTTTCTGCCAGTCTTTTATTACCTAAGTAACAGGGAATGGTACAGACCTGTGGTTTCTGCCAGTCTTTTATTACCCTTGAGTAGCTCTAATTTCCAGGCTATCTGCAGAGTATCTTGAAACATGAAGTAGATCAACAGCTGCCTCATCACCCATGCGTTTTTTTCTTATATACTTTGTCTTTGCTGGGCTGTAGCCCAGTGTGTCAGTATTGGGCATTAAAAAGAACAGTGTGTCCAGCACTAATTCGACTCCCCATCACAGCATTTGATCTCATCTAACAGGACTGGGGCTTCTTAATGTGTCTTTTGAGACTTCAGGAACCTTCGCCATCTAAAAAAATGTTCCTCTTTGTTACAGTTTCTGCATTACCAAGTTAAAGGATAAAATGGTGACATATTGAACTTCCCTTGGATAATGATACCTCTGCCCAGTTAAACACAACCTACAGTAGGAGAGGAGTTGCTGTAGTCAGGTCACTTGCTACTCTCAAAGTTCAGTGCAGCTGAGCTGTGTGGGAAGGGGATGACTTCTCAGCATTTAGGATTCCTGTAAGATAAAGCCAGCTTACTACAGTCTCTAAACTTCAAGATTACCCCCCCCCTTTTGGCTTTTCAAGACAGGGTTTCTCTGTGTAGCTTTAATTATCCTAGAATTCACTCTGTTGACTGGCCTTGAACTCACAGAGCTCATCTACCTGCCTCTGCCTCCTAAATGCTGATATTAAAGGCATATGCCACCATATAATTAAAGAAAAAAAAAGACTTTTATTACAGAATCTGCAATTACGTTGTGATTAGTGTTTTATCTCTGTTTAATTGGCAGCATTTTTAAAATTCTGTGCTACATTAAAAATGGTCTTGAAATTGATGTGATGGTTTATTTCAGTGTCAGTTTAAGCCACAAGGGGCTAATGTAGTTTGGACATGGAACACACCTGAAAGGCCCATGTTCTTTTTTAAGTCTTGGTCCTCAGCTTTATACTGTTAGCTGGTGGCAGAATCTTTATGAAGAGCCTAGAAAATGGAAATGGGTTACTGAGGGAATACTTCTGAGTAGTTGGATGCTAGTCTCTTCCTGTCCTGCTTCTTGCTACCATGAGGTGAGCATCTTGTGACACCATGCACTCTTCACCATTGCCATCATGTGCCACTTTAGCATAGCCCAGAGGCAGTGGGGTCCTCGGGAGTATGGCCTAAAACATCAGGGAAAACACTAAGCCCAAATCTTTCCTTTTTAAAGTTTATTTATATTAAGATACTTGTCATAGTAAAAGAAAGCTGAGGGCCTCAGGTCCTCAGACATTTGGGGAAACACTTTGAATGAGTCTAGGGTATTTTGGGGTAAGATTAGCACCTGCATTGGTAGATCAAGTAAATAGAATGCTCCTCGTCATGTTTATAGGGCCTCCCCTAGCTGCATGAAGACTAGAGTAAAACACAAAGGTTAAGTAAGAAGGAACTCCTCCTGCCCAATAGGAATGAACATTGACCTTCCTTGATGCCTACTTCATGGACCCCAGCTTGCTCACACTGCAGCTCTTAGGATGAGACAATTCTTTACAGTGATTCACTTTGTATGTCAATATGTGATCCCGTTGCTTCTTTTCTTGGAGACAGCTAATGCAAGTCCTAAACTTGATTAAATAGTTATCAGGTATGTCTTAAATGCCTTCTGTTACAAAAGTTGTGATATATCATGGAAAGGGGTGCATATAAGCAAGAGTGGTAGGAGTTGAACTCTAAGTGAAAAGACTGTTCTATATCATTATGGCTATCTAGCAGCAGGGATCCAAGACTTGGGAGTTTTTGTGACCACAGGGTCAATATAGGAAGGCATGATTTTCTTTTTAGCTCTATTATGTAAGTGTGTACCTTGGGATAGGTTTCTTTTTCTATGAATTGAACAGATTGTCCTAGGTGATTTCAAAGACTTCTTCCATTTCTGCATTCTGAGAAACAGATTTGTCTCAGTAAGGGGGAAAGTGGTCTAAATAGTGGCATACATAATAGTGGCATACATTTGTCTCAGTGAGAGGGTAAGTGGTCTAAAAATGCCATACATAAGCAGCTTCTTTTACAAAGGTGTAATACAGCAGTATGTCTGATACCAGAAAAAATCCTGTACTCAGAGGGATGATGTTTACTAGGTTACAGTGATGGTGGCCATCAAGTCTGTGTTTTCATAGAACTTGAAATTGAGATTAAGTGGATTCCCAAGTAAGGGGAGCAGAGGCTGTCTCTGGCATGAACTCAGTGGCTGGCTCTTTGATCACTTCCCCCTGTGCAGCCTTGCCAGGCCATAGAGGAAGATGATGCAGCCAGTCCTGATGAGACCAGATAGGCTAGGGTCAGAGGGAAGGGAAGAAGGACTTCCCCCTAGTGGACTTTGGGAGGGTCACGGGAGGAGAAGAGGGAAGGAAAGTGAGATTGAAAGGGGATGAGGGAGGGGTCTACAAAGTGAACAAATTGTAATTAATTACAAAATAAGTAAATTTTAAAAATTCATCTACTACTAAAGCTTAAAAAGAAAAGAAGAAAGAAATTGAGATTCAGATGTCTCTTTTTCCAACATGAATATATTTATGAATTCATTTCTATAAGTTTGCTAGGATTGTGGGCTGTGGCATGGGTAAGACCATAGGGCTTCTTACAGCCAATAAAGGCTCTTCGTCTCTGGGCAGAAGCTTCTAGTACAGAAAGTATGGCAAGAAGAGTACCTGGTTTTAGGAGTTTTAGGAAAGAATATTTAATCTTTGCTGAGAAACAAAAATTATATGGCTTCAATTCAGATATTATTGGGAGAGTAGATGTTGAGAATTAGTGTTCATCTATTTTTATTTAAGGAAGAGATGTGTTTCCTGGCAGGCCTGTCTTGCAATTTGTAGAAGAGCAGGCCCTGTGAGTGAGAGAACATCTCGCCTGCCCTCCTGACTGCTTCCCTTGGACTTAGTGCAATCATTCATCTTTCTCGTAACAGTTACCCTGGGCAAACAGGAAAGGGTTGTGTGAGTTTAGCAAGTACAGCATTCTCCCCAAACAGCAAAATGAGTCACTATCATTTGGACATCAGTTGATGTTTTACCCACATTTTTTAAAAAGTTGTTTTTTTTTTTTTTTTATGCCGGTGAATGTTTTGCCTGCATGTATGTTCCTATCTATTGCCTGGTGCCCACAGTGTCCATGAGAAGGCAGTTGTTAGCCACCATATGAATGCTAAACACCAAACCATGGTCCTCTACCAGAGCAGCAAGTGATCTGTACCACTGAGCCATCTCTCCAGCCCCATATACAATCTCCAAGGATCCGTAAGTAGATACGTATATCTGCTCAGTCCTTGGAGTTCTATTCAAGTCCCCACAACCTTCTCTCTTGACTCCTCAGCCATAGTAGTGTCGCATGAGAGAAAGGTAATGTGGCACTTCAAAGAGGGCGACTATACCTAAGAGAAGGTGACTGCTGGTGTGTGTGTGTGTGTATGTGTGCGTGTGTGTGTGTGTGTGTGTGTGTGTGTGTGTGTGTTTGTTTCCAAATACAAGTTGAGATGGTGAGAACATTTTATGAGAAGGTCGAGCTTGATTCTCATAGCAAAGCATTTTGGTTTGCCTAGAATTGCAGGGCATGTGAGAAGACGAGCTAAGATGCCTGCTTCTGCTGTATAGAGATTGTTCCCATTCTCCAATATTGATTAGAGCTAATTCTTGAAGGTTGATTTAAAGATTGTTGTGCTTTAATGGGCAAATACAAAATGGTTAGAGAAATCTGAGAGTCCTATGCTTCTAGGCTCGTTAGTCTGGACATTGCATAACCTTTGCTTAGAGGTCGCTGAAATCTTTGTTGCATAGTTTCTAAGATCCTGCTAATTTTTTGACAAGGGGATGAGTGTGTGATAATTATGTTCAGGGCAGAACTTATCTTAGAAAAATTAAGAATCACAAATTATTAGAACTGTGTTTAAAAGGAGGAGGTGAAAATAAAAATCTGTGTAAGTGCTATTACATATAACCATCACTTCCTTACTCCTGATCCTTCCCAACTGCTGTGTCTCATGTGACTAAAGTGTATGCCTCTAGGACTGTTTGTTACTAATTTTAAAATGTACAAGTTTTTTCTAAGCTGCTTACTTCTTAGAAACAATGAAAAAGGTCCTTGCATCTGGGACTCGGTACCTTACATTTTTAGGTCCTATTTCTATTCCTGGGTTGGCACATTACACACCAGCAGTAATTGTGCCTGGCTTTCCCTCTGTTTTTAGGTTGGCAGCCTCGATGGTTCCTTCTCTGTGGGGGAATACTATCCTATTACGATTCTCCTGAAGATGCCTGGAAGGGTTGCAAAGGGAGCATACAGATGGCAGTCTGTGAGATTCAAGGTGAGTGACCAAGCAGCTCTTAGCTTTGTACCACCCTAGAGAATGAAAAAAGCATTGCCCCCATGTGCCTCTTTCTGCTGCTCCTGCAGTGCACACCAGGATACAAAGAAGGTTGTTCTTGAAAGAATGCCTTTGGACAAAACCTAAAGCTGCAGCCAGCTTTTTCAGATCAGTCAAGAACTGGTCAGAACAATGAGAACAACATCTTCACACTCAGTTCTCATTTCTTACCTACTCACCTGGAGCCAGTGACTATTTGCAAGGCTTCAGTGATTTTACTGTAACATCAAACACTTCTGTGTTTAAAGCACGATAGACAAACATACCCATCTCTGCACTCCCACCTTTCAATGAAAATAAGCAAACACCACAGGGTAGACAAATAGTCTTTACTTCTTGCCTCTAAAATCTTGAGACAGTGAGATGTGTGGCTGAAGAAAAAACTATTAGATGGGAATTGGGGGAGGGTGAATTAGAATGTTTTGCTAGTTTCTTCTCTGAAAGGGTTCTAAGGGAATACCCACAATTAGGTCTGACTGCTCCAGGGAAGTTGAAAGGGGGCAATGTGTTCTTGATGGTTTCCCAATAACTCCAAGGAGATAAAGATTGCACCCTTGTTTATTAGTGGCTATATTAGTTTTCTGTTGCCATCAAGGCTGGATAATGTATAAAGAAAATAGTTTTATGTAGCTACTAATATTAGAATATGAAAGTCTAAATAGAAATTCTAAAAAACTCTGGTTAGGGCACAGTGGGTGAATCACACCGTGGTATATGGCTTCATGATGAAGATTGTAGGGAAGGGAGGTATCACGTAGGAAGCCAGAGAAGCCAGAGAGGAGCCTTTGTTGCTGTGTAATGACCCCCCACAAGTACTAATCAGAATCTGCAAGAACTGCAAACAGTGGCCTCAGATAACTTCCTACTGAGATCTCCTAAAGGCCCTACACCACAACAGCAAGCCTACACTGGAACCAGCTGCATCCTCAAACCTGGAGGTTTCAACCTTCTTTTATAAGCATACAGGCCTTTGGGGCTTAGAATAGCACATTTTATATATTTCACAAGGCCAAAGAGAGACTCCTTTTCCATCCTGATAACAGGTTCAAATGGATGATTGTTCGGGGGCAGATGGTGACTGCAAGGTTTTCATTGGTGCCTTGAAGCCAATTATAGGGTCTTCTTTTCTTTTTTTCTTAAGATGAGACAAGAGTGGGTCTGACTGGCTTGGAACTCATTTTGTAGATCAGCTGGCTTCTACCTCGTGAGTGCTAGCATTAAAGATATATGCCACTACACCGTGCAAAGTGTCTAGAACAGATAAATGAACAAAATTTAGTATCACTAGAAGAGTTGGTAAGGATTGGCCCATCTCTCCAAAGAAGCTTTCAGGAGGCTGGAGGTTTGGCTTAGTGGTTAAAAACACTTGCTGACTAGTACTAGGGACTGGAATTTAGATGCCAGCATCCACATACTCACAAGTCAGGTATCTTTTTTTAATTTTTTATGTTAATTACAGTTTATTCACTTTGTATCTCAGCTGTAGCCCCATTCCTCCTTCCGCCCTAACCACACTCTCCCTCCCTCATCTCCTTCCAAGCCCCTTCCAAGTCCACTGATAGGGGAGGTCCTCTCCCATTACCTCTCACCCTAGTATATCAGGTCTCATCGGGACTGGCTGCATTGTCCTCCCCTGTGGCCTGGTAAGGCTGACCCCTCCCCTCAAGGAGAGGTGGTCAAAGAGCCAGCCACTGAGTTCCTGTCAGAGACAGTCCCTGTTCCCATTACTACGGCACCCACTTGGAAACTGAGCTGCCATGAAAGCCAGGTATCTTGCACACTCCTGTAACCCCATGTGTGAGGAAGACAGAGCCAAGATCTCTGGTCTTGTTGGCTTGTACCTTAGCTGTGAGAGCACATGCTCTGCCTCAAAAGGAGAGTGATAGAGAATAGCTTACCTGTCTGGCCTTGGCTCATGCACAGACACACACGCACACATGCACATAGGTAAATAAATAATAAATTATAGCAGAACTAAACAGGAAGCTGGGGTGGAACTGCCTAGACAGTTCTTACCAAGTCTGACCTCCTTCTTCCTTGCTCCAAGTTCATTCTGTGGATAACACTCGCATGGACCTGATCATCCCTGGGGAACAGTATTTCTACTTAAAAGCCAGAAGTGTAGCAGAGAGACAGCGGTGGCTAGTGGCCCTGGGGTCTGCCAAGGCCTGCCTGACAGATAGTAGGACCCAGAAGGAAAAAGGCAAGTATTGATGGTCCTCTTGTCTGAGAACCTTGGGAATTATTAACTGCTATCTCTAAGTTCAGCTTTTTGTATCATTGAAATGCTGTGTATCTAAGCAGAACTTACCCTAGGGTTCCTACCTAATTCCGATTCTGTTTTCTTGGCATGGTAGAAAACATGAAAACTTTTGAGCCAGACACACCTGGGTTAAATGATATTTCTGTATTTCATTGACTGTATAATTCTGCCCTAAGTCACTTATTTTTTCTGAACTCTGTTCAACTCATCTTTGAATAACATCAAAGTGATGGTATCTGGCTTGGAAGGATGACTGTGAGGTCTGGTGACGACGTGAAATGGTGTCACAAAGATTGACGAAGAGTTAGTTATCCAGAGAAGCCTAGAACCAGGGTGTTTTCTGCTTTCCACACCTGCTTTCTACTGTCTCCCCTAAGGTGGGTGGATACTTAATTGCCAGGTTGCTGCTGCTCAGCGCTTAATGACATCATTTGGTCTTCTGAGCACCATGGTGGACCTTCTTCTTTACACTGGGGTAAGAGTGTTGAGGCTTACTTCCTGACCCCTAATTGCTCCTTTCACACCATTTTAAGCCTGTATGTACACCTGAAGAGATTGGTTTCAAAGAGGGAGCCTTTCATGTGACAGATGGAAAAATTCCTAACTCTTCAAGTAGACCTGTAAAATGGTCTCTTCCTTGGTTGTGTTGATGCTAAATTAGGAACAAATTCTCGAAGCTGTTGGCTAGACTCAGAGCATGTGATATGCGTAACATTTCGTGGAAAGGACATAGAAGTCCTTGTTACTGATTTTCAGCACTGCAGAGCCTTGCTGGTAATGGATAGATGCCATTAACGCTGATAGGCATGCGGAGAGCCAGTACTCAAACAGAACACCATTTCCAGTGGCAGATCACTAGGACCCGTGTTATAGAGGAGCAGACTCTATAATATGGAGAACTCAGATCCCTGGCTCTGCTCCCAGTTCCCAGGAGAGGGTCTCCCACAGACTGTTCTCTTTCTAACCCTGTGATTGTTCAGTATGTTGTCTCAAGAAATAGCTGGGATATACCCTCTTTCTATTTTTGTTCCTTCCTTATCTTTAGCTATCACATCTGAAACACATACCGTAAACCTCTCATGAGGCATCAGTTACTTACTTCATTTCTGTGCAGCTTACTAACTAGGAAATGGTGGTTCCTTCTGGTAACTCCTTTACCTTTTCTTGTTGTTAACGTAGAATTTGCAGAAAACACTGAAAACTTGAAAACCAAAATGTCGGAACTAAGGTTGTACTGTGACCTCCTTGTTCAGCAAGTAGATAAAACAAAAGAAATGGCCACAGCTGGTATTGCTGACTCCGAGGTAAAGTATTGTTTTAGTGATGTTACTGACATTATACACAAATGTAATGTCAGACTGTCTTCGGGCATTTATTCTCAATAATTCTTGTTTTGGAATGAGCTGTTCTTTAGAAAAAGTGGCAGAATTCAACCCAGAAATGCATGCATTGCAGTGCTTAGACACATACGCTTTCCCACCCTTGAAGGAATTTAGGATTGATCCATAACACATGGGATTTTTAGCTTTAGTACTAAGAAAAAGAAAAAAAGGACGTTACTAAAATATGTTTCTTCCCAGTTAGCATCTCTTTTTAAACAGTCTTACGAGTCTAATCGAACTGTTTCCTTATGTATGGCTCCTAAAATACTAGCATGGTGTCTGTCAGTGGAATGGCTGTTGCTCCTCGGAAGACTGACAGGACTGTACTACTCTGTCGCAGTAAATGTGCTCTGAAATAGCCCCATGCTATTTCAAGAGGTGGGGCTTGGCTCAACCTTGCTCTCAGGTGGTGTTTCACCCTCACCAACAAGCACTGTAATTTTGTCCCCTTTTATTTTTATTTTTAGATAGGATATCGCTACTTAATTCAGCCTGGTTTTGAACTCTGAAGCTTCCTAATGAAGCCTCCTGAGTGCTGGGATTAAAGATATGTGCCACCATACCCAGCTAAGGATTGGAAATTTTAACATTTGTTAATAAAGTTGCCATTTGTTCATCCTAAAACATCAGAAAAAGATCTCTTAGACTGTGCCTGAAGTCACTGGCATTGACTAAGAGAGGATCTCTGCAGTGCTCTCATGACAGCTGTAATCTACAGCCTGAGGAATCCAGATGTTACACATAAGGATATTACTCATTTTCTTAGTTATTAGAATACCATTTTACTAATGCTGTGTTGAAGTCTTGATAAAACTGGGTTTAAATCCCTTTCATTCCCTTCCTTTGGCTTCCTGTGATCATTCAACAGCTGCCTGTTGTCTGTGGGACACTATTCGCAGGCGAGGAAGGAACAAAAGAACAGAAAACCATTTCATTCCTGTCCTTGCAGGGTTTATAATCTAGAGCAAGGACTGCCAGTCCACAACCTCTGTGTCCCCAGATAATGGAGACAGTTTGAATGTCAGGATTGAGGAAATACCATTGTTGTATAGTGTTTAGAAGCCAGGGGTGCTGCTAAGCATCTTAAATTGAGCAGGAGAACTGTGCCTCACTCCTGCAGGCAGGCAGGCAGGCAGGCAGACAGACAGACAGACAGAAAAACTGGCTGGCTGGCTGGCTGACTGACTATCTGTCTATCTTAGTCACTATACTATTTCTGTGAAAAGACATCATGACCAGGGCAATGCTTACAACCTTGAAAATGCTAGAGTAAAGTAAGCATTTAATTGGGGCTTGCTTGTAGTTTCAGAGGTTTAGTCCATTACCATCATGACAGGGAGCATGGTGGTGTATAAGCTGACATGGTGCTGAGAGTTCTATATCTGGATCCACAGGTAGCAGGAAGGAAGAGAGACAATGGGCCTGGATTGGGCTTTGGAACTTTAAAGCCGACCCCCAGTGACACACTTACCCTAACAAGGCCACACCTCCTAATCCTTCTCAAGTAGTGTCACTCCCTGATGGCTAAGCATTCAAATACATGAGCCTGTGGAGGTCATTCTTATGCAAACCACCACACAGACATACCCACGTATAGTAACCAACCCAAAGTCACAAGTGGTGCCAAGCCTGGTATAGAGAGAAGAAAAATTCTGAACACAGCAATCTGTAATTGAAGAAAGTACTCACAGTGAAAGCCTTGGAAACTTGATAACAAATATGGGTTACAACCAACAGTGTCATCTGGGGCATTTATTAGAAATACATGTCATCTCCTTGGTCTCTGATCAAAAGTGTAGCTTCAGAAGTTTCATGAATAACTTACTGATATCCAAAAGCAAAACACCCAGGAAATTAAACTACCTTAAAATAGAAAAGTATCTGCTAGGTGTTGAAATGAATTCCAGTTTCCTCAAGCCCTGCAGTTGTCTACACTGAGAGCAAGCAATGCACAGCGCCTACATCTGTGCCTAGCACCTATCTTGCTGCTGGTATACAGTGCAAAGCCAAAAGAAGTTGTCATTAGCTGGAGCAGTGGGCGAAGAAAGGGTCAGAACAGCAAGGGTGTGTATGAAAACAGTAACTTGGGCTAATTCATTTTTGTTGTTTATCATGGATGTGCATATTTATCCAGGAAACATCCTGGATGGGTACATTGGTACTGCTTTGTGGCTATAAACCTCTCAGGACATAACACCATTGAGTTTTTCATTTTGTAACAAGACAAAAGATTCTTCTTCTCATTGTCATGTAGGAGGGAATCGATGTGGGGACTCTGCTGAAATCAACCTGCAACACTTTCCTGAAGACCTTAGAGGAGTGCATGCAGATTGCAAATGCAGCCTTCACCTCTGAGCTGCTCTACCATACACCCCCAGGCTCCCCTCAGCTAGCGGTGCTTAAGGCCAACAAGGTAAAAAGCCCAGCTCACTCTCTCTCCAGAAGCACTGTGGAAAAGTTTAAGGATACATGCTGTCATGCCTAATACTGTCTTAGAGTAGTTTGCTGTGTGTCCACTTTTGTGCCTACCCTTAGTCCTCTAAATCTAGTCAGTTATTTTTAGCAGTTAGATCCCTACAGTTCTCTACTCTAACCTCTTGAAGGAATCTCCCCTGGAATAGTGTAACCTTACCTAGTCACTCAGCCTGCCCCTTCCGTTAGCCAACAGTAATGAAGTGCAAATTGAATTTTATCTAAACCTTGAAGTCATTCCCTCATGGCCTGTAAGCTAAGACCAAAACTTTGTTACCCCTTCCTTTATCACCCAAGTCTTCCCCTGGTAGCACCTAGCTTGAACATGGTTGTTGCTTATGTCATTTTCCAGTGCTGAGAATGCTCTCAGCTTCTCTCTCAGATAAGCCCCTATTCGTCTTCCCTTAATTGTCTCTCAGTGCCTGGGTTGGGCTAAGAGGATGTCCTCATACACTCCCTGTTTCATTCCTAACTTCTGTTGAAGTTGGCGTAAAGGAAGAAACTCTGTCCATAATGTTTACCTTCATGCCTCTAATGTTGGGTACAATAATGCACCATAATTGGATATCTGCTAATGCTGAATAAGTAACAAATTACAAAGAAAGCTAGGAATTTAAGTATGGCAATGTGATCTTTTAAAACCCCATCTTCCTTTCCTAAGAAATTTGGGTTCACTTCAACTGGAGGGAATGAGGATTCTTTCCTTGAGAAGCGCAATATATATTATGTCTATATCGATCACTTTCTGATATGATATTCTAAATAACACTGTCCCAAGTTTAACACATAAACTTTTATCTCTTTCTTTTTTCTGTTTAAAGATGAAACATCCTGTCATACCAATTCATAATTCATTGGAAAGGTATAGTAACTCTCGTTTCTCTTCTTCTTCTTAAGAGTTAGAAATTTATACATTGTGTTCCTTGATTGTAAACAAGCAGTGGGGTAGTGCTAGTGATTTGAGATTGTGCCAGAAGCAAACTACCTGACTTGCCCTCCTGTGAGAAACCAAACTACATGTGGATTTGGCAGACCTGGGCAGATGTGGCCATTTCCTTAGGAACTGAGTCTTGCCACCACATCTGCTAACTTAGTCTGTCTAGAGTTGTTGAAGGTTAGAACTTTCCTTGCAGAAGAACTGAATGTTGATTTCAGTGTACTTTCCCCACGAAAACTCATGTTGTTTCTCTCTTATTTAGAAATGAGATTCTTAATAGCTCCGATAGTAAAAAAAAAAAAAAAAAAAAAGTAGCTTGTTAGCAAAATCTAAAACTAGTACCATTCTTCTAAATAATTCTTTGATTTAAAAAAAAAAAAAAAAACAGACGTGCCAGGCGCGGTGGTGCACACCTGTAATCCCAGCACTCGGAAGCAGAGACAGGCAGATCTCTGTGAGTTCAAGACCAGCCTGTTCTACAAAGTGATTCCAGGACAGCCAAGGCAGCACAGAGAAACCCTGTTTTGAAGGTTTTCACACACACACACACACACACACACACACACACACACACACACACACACAC